CTGCCTATGTGACCAGCCCCCAATAAAAATGTTGAGCACTGAGTCTCTAACGACTTCTCCTGGTGAACAGCATTTTACACATATTGTCACAATTCAGTGCTGGAAGAATTAGGCACATCCTGTGCAACTCCATTGGTAGAAGACTCTTGGAAGCTTGCACCTGGCTTCCTCTGGTCTTTGCCCATGAGCCTTTTCTCTTTGCTGATTTGGCTTCGTATCCTTTTGCTGTAATAAATCCAAGAGTACTACTATACGCTCTGTCCTGTGAGTTCTCTTAGTGAACTGCTGAATCTGGGAGTGGTCTTGGGGACCCATGACACAGATTTATTCATGTTTTCTATTTCTTCTTGAGTCAGTCTCAGCACTTTGTGTCTTTCTAGGAATATGTCCATTTCATCTAGGTTATCTCACTTTTTGGCATATAATTGTTTATAATATTCCCTTAAAATCCTTTTAATTTCTGTAAGGTCAGTAGTGATACCCCCTCATTTATTATTTATTATTTATTTTCGTAACTTGGATATTTTTCTCTTTTTTCCTTGATCAGTCTAGTTAAATGTTTGTCAATTTTGTTGATCTTTTCAAAGAACGGACTTTTGTTTACATTGATTTTCTCTATTACTTTTCTATTCTCTATTTCATTTCTTTCTACTCTAGAATTTTTTTATTTCCTTCTTCATGCTTGCTTTAAGTTTAGTTTGGTCTCCTTTTTCTAGGTTCTTACAGTGGAAGTTTCATTTATTGATTTGAAATCTTTTTATTTTAATCGAAGAGTTTTCAGCTATAAATTTCCCTCTATGCAGTGCTTTAGCTGTATTTTATAAGTTTTTAGTATGTTTTGTTTTAATTTTCACTCATCTCAAATTATTTTCTAATTTCTCTGGTGATTGCTTTTTTGAACTATCGATTATTTAGGAATATATTATTTAATTTTCACATATTCATGAATTTCCCAAATTTCTTTTTGTTATTGATTTCTAATTTCATTCCACTGTGATCAAAGAAGATACTTTAGATGATTTTAATCTTTTTAATTTTATTGTACCTTGATTTATGGCCTGTCATATGGTCTATCCTGGAGAATGTTCCATGTTTATTTGAGCAGACTGTATAATCCGCTGTTTAGGAGTTTTAAATGTCTTTTACCATCTTCCCCTGGTCTCCTTTATGGAAGCCAGTGTGAGAGTAGCAGAGCAATGGACATTGCAGCTTCATTTTCTGCTTCTCTTGGTCCTGCCTTCTGGAGTGAGAGAATAAGCAAATAATGCCAAATTAACCTAATTTCCTCCTGATGCCTTTTCAGATTTAAAAAACAAACAAACAAAAAAAAAACCCAAGTATGCATAGTTTTTCTATAACTAGCTGTGATTTCTCTTCCTGGATGTATTAGGACAATGAAATATGTCTCTTCCCACAAGCAAAGCAATGTGAGTGCTCTGCCCTTCTCTGCACTTCAATGGCTGCCTCAGAAACACTCTTGCTCAGGAGTTGGTCAGTGTTTCTTTAATCATTGAATTTGGTCCCAGACCATCATACTGAGGGTAGACCAAGGGAGCTCTGGTTTGGTGAGATTAGAGCTTTTACCTGCTATAATAAATTCCTACCTGCCCTTTTGGGAAGGCCTATGTCAATACCATTAAAACTGTCCTTTCTACTCCTCTTTCCTCAGATACCCAGAAGTGAGTGACCACATCCTCTTTCTTCTCTTTGGTATTTATAAAGGATCCATTTGGCTGCAACTAACAGATAACCAATCCAACTCTAACTTGACTAATGAAGAAGTTGTTTTTTTCATGTAACAAGAAGTGCAGGGACAGACAATTATAAGCTGGTGCAGTTGATCAATGATACCATCAAAGACCCAGGCTCTTTCCATTTTTCCACTGCAGCAACCATAGCTGGTGTATTTCTTCCTTATGCCTATTGTCTCATGGTCACAAGATGGCTGTTGCAACTTAAGACTTAGTCCTGTCCAATAGGGAACGAAGGGGTAGGGTGCAGAGATAAAAAGCTTGCCAGCATATTACAAATCTTTTCCGGAAACTCCACTCAGCAATTTCTGTTTATGTTTCATTATTTAAATCTAGGTCACAAATCACCCCTAGACCAATCGCTGAAAATCTGAAAAACAGGCAAAGAGAAAGGAGAAGAGAAGGGGGTTGGGGAGCTGTGGCCAGTCAACCAACAGTGGCTGCCACACCTTCCTCATAACCTTAGTAATTAGAAGTTAGGGCGGGTCAGAGAGGGTGACTTTAGTCAGGCTGAGCTTGGAGTATGGCATGCCATTCAACTCTGTTCCTATACACACCTGTTCCAAACAGAAGCAGTCTTCATCTCCAAAAAAATCTAAGTTCCCTGGCACCTTCTATAGCAAAGTCCCTAACCACAACATAAATAGACAGCTTTTCACCTGCCTTCTGGTAAATTCAGCATCTAACTCATGCTCTTTTCTTTAGAATTAGGAAAAGCATATTCTAAGTACTCAGCAGTCATCTACAGTCATTAAGCATTGTTCAATTTGAGGACCCCAAAGTCCAGTCTTCTGGGACACCCCATAAGACAGCACCATGCCACTACTTTTTCTTAGCCTCAGATACCTGCTACAGTAGTTAATCATTTCCATCACAGCTACAACTGCCTGTGCCAGCAGATAAACCCATGACTTGGGTAACATTTCAAGCTTGAGTCCTGGACTTCGAGTCCCCAAAGAGGTGAGAAATTCAGAGTCCAAAATAAGGGCCTTAAAGTTCAACTTCCCTATCTCTCACTTTCTCAGAATACTCCTGAAATTGCAGATAAATTAATATCTTTATCAAACTCTAATAAGGATGCATTTCTCTCTCTTCCTCCCAGAACCTTCTGCCAACCATCCTGTAAAGAAGCCAAAAGTTTTAAAGCATTCTGTAAAATCTTTTCAACTCAATCTTTTCCCAGTCTTCTGCTAGTCCTCATATCAGGAGTTACTTTGGAGAGCCCTCATTCATTTCTGTACCCCAGTTCTCTAACACAATCTTAGCTATTGTCTCAAAATCAATAGACTCACGTTCTAGAGGTCATAATTTTCTGTGTACAACTTTCAAAATTTCTTAATAACTCCACCATGTAGCAGATGTGAATTTGTTCCATAACACTGAAGCACAAAAAAATGTCATATTGCCATAGTTTTCGCCTCCACTGACTTGCCGCAGTGGCAAGATACTCCATTCTCCAAGGAGTCTTAGAAGGGTGATGAACCACCCCAGTTTGCCCAGGACTAAGAGGTTTTCTGGAACACGGAACTTTCAGTGCTAAAAATGAGCAAACCAGAACAATTGGTCATCCTAAGTTCGAGATAAACATTAGTTTACAAGCCTCCTTAGGCAGTGCACATGTCTAATGAATTTCTATATACCTACACCCAGTGCTCAAGACATAATAGACACTCAATAGGTTCTTAATAAATAAACAAATTCACAAACAAATGCGTGAACCAGAATAAAAAAATAGATTAAAATAATAATAATCCAAAGTCTGAGCCACATCAGAAGTTACTTGAAACAACTGAAATGGAGTGCCCTACAAGTTCCTTCCTATCCCTTTGAGGCTTAAAGGGACCATGTCCTCAGAGCAGGGGCAAATTTTCCCCACACACACGTACACAAGAGTTTCTATATCATCTATTTCCAATTTGATGGATTTGAGAACCATCAGGTAGACTTTCCATCACATTTGGGTCTGTTGTTCAGGAAGACAACACAGATATAAGGGAAATGTTGACAAGTGTGAACTTATGAAGGTACCTACCACCTGCCCAGCCTTCCAGACCTCCCAGAGTTCTGTGCTGCATAGACTGATAACACTGCTTTAAAGTGTCCAGAACCTTCCCCCACCCCCTCCACCTCAGCACATCCCCTTGGGGTATAACTCTAATGCTGCAGCAGGTTTTTCTGCTACATTGTGTCACTTTCCACTTGTCTTCCACAAGACACTGATATTCCTCTATTCCCTTAAATATCTTTTTTTTCTCCTTTTTGCCTTTCCTATTCTATTACTTCTTCCAACTTTTTATAAGTTAGAGTGGGTAGAGCTAGTGTGCTGTCTTTCCTCTTACGTAGCAGGGAGACTGTTATGTCTGTATCAATTGTAATTAATGATCACCTCAAGCAAGAGGACAAATTTACAGATAATTGTAACAGTTCTGACTCCATATTTCCTGGAGTTTTGTAGTTTTCCTTGAAATTGCCTCATTTCTATGCCTAGTTTCAAAGAATATACCTAGAAAATCTGCCTATATGTCTACTTGTCTCTTCTCCTTACCACGTGCTAACCTCTGATCTCCATGGCACATAGCAAAGTGTCACCATTCTATTCTATAGTACTCTTCACTCACAGAGTCACCATGTCCAGAATTCTGACCCTTCTTTTTGTCCTATGACTGGCTAAGTTGATCTCAAAAGCCTATTCCCCCACCCCACCTTGTCGTACCAAAGTTTTCATCTCCTTGCTCTTCGCTCTTCTTCTACTTGCACAGGTGGCTTTGACCACCTTTGCGTAAACCCTCTCTGGGCATTCCAGGGGTTCCCCAATCAGCCCTCTCTACCCCAGTCCTACAACACAACCAGACTTTATCAATCTCAAAATAAGGCCTGAATTTTCACAACACCCCACACAAGTCTTTTTTTCAAAACTCTGTTTTTAAGAATTATAATTCTCAAAACTCTATATTTACCGTTGAGTGATTCATTAGTCCCCTCTGGTGTGAATAGCTACTTCAGGTTATAGGGCATCTCTTAAGTTATCTCTGTCAACCTTTCTGTGTATGTCCCCAAACAGGGAGAAAGAGCAGTCCCTAGGGCACTGGTGATTCAGGTAGGAAGTCCCTCCCTTTCAGGGCAAGGGGGAAATGGCTCAGCCCTCTCTGACATCCCCCAGAGGAACTCGGGAAACCTTGGTTGGGATTGATCTTAAGAACGTGCTGAAGACTGAAGATGAACCAGTGTTTATGCATGTCCTTGTTTCAGAAAAGAGAATGGCTGCTGTTGGCCAAAGGAGAGGCCCCGAGCCAAGGACACAGCCTGAGAGAGCCCGCTAGCACCTTCTATGTGATTGTGCCATCGCGCTCCCCAACTCTGCTAGTGAAGGCAGTGGCCACACGAGAACTGATGCTGCCCAACTCCTTCTCTCTACTGCCTGAGGACCTGCCTGATGACAGCCTGAAGACTGTGGAGGCAAGTGGAGCCCAGATCTCCTGGGACAGATAGAGGGAAGAGGAGGGAAGGGAGTCAGAGAAAGGGATGAGGGAGAGGAATGAGCCAGTGAGGGGAAGGACAGAGAGCCAAGGGAGAAGTGGTCCCAAGGGTGTGGTGAGAAGGCCAGAGAAAAAACAGGGTAGGAACTGAGGTGGGGCAGGAGGAAGTTAGCAGTGATGGCATGTTCCCACAGATCTTTCTCTGCATTATGCATGTGCATGTGTGTGTACCTGTGTGTGTGCATCTACTTCTGTCTGTTGAGGGAAAGAAGAAAAAGTAGACAATGTAGGGGCCCAGAATAGGCAGAGCTTCAAAATAAGACTGCAGTGCAAAGGTGGGAACAGCTCTGAAGGCCATTTTCTCCTCCTCCTCTTTCGTGGATCTGGATTTCTGGATTTCCTCTGCAGCCTCCCCAGGCTGAGGGCAGGAGTGGGGCTCTGGGCAGGGAGAAGTGAAACCACATTGCTGCTGGATCGCTGGCTTACGTGCAGAGAGGACAGAGCCTGGGATTGTGCTCTCCACTTGGCGGCCAAGGGGATGAAGAGAGAGGTGGGCACAAGTGGCTGTGCTCCGCGTCTCACTTCAGGGCCAATGGTTCCTGGCACAGGATATTGTGGCCGGAAAACCCGACTGCTCAGGAATGCTGTGCTCGCGTGTCCTCTGGTTACACTCACCTCACAGGCAGGCTGAGAACTCAGTGTACTCGCCTCATAGACTGTGAACAGCCCCAAGATGAGGACACACTCTCCCTCACAGCCATGCACACTGGATCCCTTGTAACCCTCACAGCACCCAGACCCTATGACATACTTCTCTGGTCCAGAGTATTCAGTGTCCCTAAACACTCAGTTTTGCTCCTGCTTTGTACCTGTGCCTGACACTTACCTCACAAGCACTCAGACCTGGGGCGGGGGTGGCCAGAACACCCAGTGGGACACTGGTCTATTTCACAGCCTTCAGAGATGCCCTGAGTCTTCACACCTCCTTCAGCCTCTCACACTCAAAGGGCTCTGCCTGACATCTTGTGTTCTGTAAATTCAAGCTCCCCAGGTAAGGCTCCTCCTCTCTTCCTCAGAGTGTGTTGGACGGCCTAGAGCTGGAGCCCATCTACAACCCCTTGCAGATTTGGAGCCACCTGTACTCACACCTGAGCAGCACCTTTGCCAAGCCTCAGGGCCGACTCCACCCAACCTGGGAGAATCGGGCCCTGAGAAAGGTATGGCTTCTCTCCTTATTCCCCTCACTCCCCTTTATGCCCAGAATCCAAGAGACCCCTCCTCCTCTGTTCCCAATTCCCCTCAATCCCAGGGAGTAGCCCTCTTCCCTAGATCTCCCCTGGTGGAAGGGAGAACCAAGCCAACAAGGAAGAAAGAAAAAGAGCAGCCCTTTATCCGAGACAAAGGAAATTACCAGCCATTCGCAGTGTGTGTGTTGGGGGGCGGGGTGGGGGGGAGACTGGGAATGAACACTGACGTATGATAACATTCAGGTATCTTAACTGTAGTGTTTGTGATAACTCATTAGTCGTTTCACAGACCATTGTGCCACTAAGCAAACTGGCTGCACTGGAACTACAACCAAAGAAAAGGCTGAAGGGAAGGTGGGAAAGAAATGCCCCAAAGAAGAGAAATTAGCATTTACTGAGCACCAGTTATTTGCCAGGTTATGTGACAAGGGTTTTCACACATATTTTTCTCATTTAATCCTCACAGCACCCCAGCAAGGTAAGTGTTACATTAATTTTACAGAGGAGCAAAGGGTGGCAGGGTGGCGGGGTGCTGATCAGGTTAGTAGCTTGGAGACAGGGCTCTAGTGACAAGGGCTAAAGAGAAGAGTAATTGAAATTAGAGAGTTATTTTTATGAAATCCATATTTTATAATATTTGGGCTTCCTTTTGCCCTTTTTTCTAGTTTCTCAGTAACAGAGCCTTTAGGGGAAAAAAAAAAAAAAAATCCTGCTTTGCCTTAGCTGAAGTTACTAGAGAAAGATGTTTCCAGACTATAGTCAATCTAGAGGTGGGAGCAGAGCCCACAGGTCAGCTGGTGGGCAAGGTCACAGAGGAGAGACACTCAGCCAGTGGAGGTGAGAGGCCAGGGGACTCTACTGCCCTGAGCCTTGAGACTGTCACTCCAGGGATGAGACAAGTGAAGGAGTTTAGACAGGAGACCCAGCAGGGAATAGGATAAGATCAAGAACTCTGTCTGGTCAGAAACGGCTCTGCTTTCTTTTCAGGCTGGGCAGTTGCAGATGAATCGAGTCCGAGCCACGGTGGCCCCCTTGCCTATAACCCCAGCCCCCAGCAGGGCCCCCAAGATGCGAGCCACCAGCAAAGCCTCCTCAGAAGCCTTCTTCCAGCCTTCCAGAGAGGAGGAGGAAGTGGAGGAGTTTCCTTCAGAGCCTTAAGTCACCAGAGCCTGGGTCTGGCTGCCCTGCCCAGCCACATCCACGCCAAGGCTCATACGATGGCATTCTGCAGTCAAACTTGCCTTCCATCCACCTGAGCCCCTGTGAGCTCCAGTGACCGAGAAAGAGCCTTTCCCTCCTCCGTCCTCGGCCTGGGAAGCTACACACCCCAGCCTCTCCCTTCTCTAAGCAAGTTTTCTTTGGGGTCATTTGATACTGTTAACGCAGATGAATATTAAACACCGGGTAAGCCAACACCGTTGTTAGGAGCATTTTATCCTTGTAGCTCTGTGTAAGCAAGTGGATGAGGTCAGGTTACCTTCAGGAAACTGGAGCTCCGGAGACAAGGATGAGGTTTTCAGAGCTCATGATAAACAAATAAGATTGAAATCCAAGCCCGATTCCAAAGCCAGTGCCCCTCCCACTATACCCACCATGCTAGTTCTCTTCCAGCTCCAAACAGAAAAGTGGTTGGTGCTCAGTACCTACATGCAAAAGAGAGGGGGATACATGGGGGGGAGGGGAGGTCATATGGCTCAGAACAGAATAGAGGGTGGTGTGAAAAAGACTTATTCCCTTTCTATTACCTCTCCTCATGCCTGCCTCTCTACTTTCCTATCGGCCCTTACGATCCACAGAATAACTACCATTTAGAAAATGCTTAGTCTATGCTGCAAATTGCACGAAGTACTTAAGAAATTTAACTCTTTTCATGCAAACAACCCTGTGAGGTAGAGCATGTTATTAAGTTTTCCCAGTTTACAAAAGGGCAGCAAAGGAAACTGAAGGTTGCAGATGTTATACAACTCTCCCAGGGTCACACAGATAGGGTCAAGCCCAGAGGGGCCAAATGGACTACCCAGGCTCTGAAATGCCACTCTGCTCGGCTCTCCTCAGTGGGACCCCTTCCTCCTTCCGTAGCTCCCAACACATTCCTGATTCTCCTCCTGATCCCCTCCACACCCACCTAGCACACCCTGCCTCTGTATCCCCTCTGTGACTATGCACACACACAGACCTCTTAAACCCAAACTGACTTTAATGAGAATAAAACTTTAAAAAATAAATCTCTGGCAAATAACAACGCAGGGGAAAGAATCCAGGCACAGTCCAGCATTTCTCTACAGCCGCCATGCAGGCCCCTCCAAGTGTACCTACTCCAACGAAGCACCCTTTCCATAGACCTGGTCCAGCAGCTGTTCCTTTTGGAGGGATGACTTAGGGATGCTGGCCTCCCCAAGGCCCATCCCTGAGCCCTGCCATCTGTCCCACCTTCAGGACTTTTGGGTATTGATCATCCTTCCCTTGACTCCCCTGATCCATCTGGTTCCCTAGCTTCGTACCGGCCCCTCCAGCCCTCTGGTTCCCACTGGTTCTAACAGGTTTCCTTGATCCCCAGTGCCACCTCCCCCCACGGTCCTCTTATCAGCAACCCCAGCCTTGCCCTACTTCTCATGTGGAGCCCTCTGACTTGACCCCAGTCCTGTCAGTCTCTTCTTTAGAGAGCCCACAGTCCCAGCTCCCTGAGGTCCTGCTCTTTTGGACCTGGCTATACAGGGCAGTGTCTGAGCTGTGGCCTTTGCTGCCACCGCCAGTTACAGTACCAGGTTCAGGGAAAGCCAGGCCCTGGGGCTTGGGAGCTGGGAGAGGCTTTGTGCTCCGAGGGGGTGGCACTGCATAGTCATCAGTGGCAGGGTTGTAGGGGAGTTCATAGCCCTCCTCCTTCACCCGAGCCTGGCACCACCATGCATCCTTGGGCTCCTGAGGCAGATCATAAAGGCCCCGGAGAGCGGCTGGGGCAAGACCCTCAGGTTCATCATAGATGGGGTCCTCTTTGGTGTCCGTTAGCTTGGCCTTCAGTAACTGCTGCTGCACATGCTCATACGTGTCCCAGTAGAGAGATTTCTTTAACTGTACCCCTCCCCCTGCCTGAGCAGAGGTGCTGTCCAGGGGGTCTGAATATAGAGAATCCTGGGAAGGACCTGGAAGAATGCGCAGGGAGTCTAAGGGTTCAGCATACAGGGCTGGAGGGCTGCCAGGGTGCTCCTGGGCGGCAGGTAGGGAAGCCAGCTTCCCCTCTGACACTTCTTCCCGAGAATCAGCTCTGAGAACATCCTGCCCCTGACCAGCCTTGCCCTGGGCCTTCTGCAGATGGATTGCAGTCTCAACTGCCTGAAAGATGTCATTTCCCTGTGCCGTCTGGAAGGTGAAAGTTCCGGGGCCGGAGGGGCAGCGGCGGCCTGCCTCAAAAGAGAACATGACCTAAGAAAGTGTGAAGAGAAACACATTACTGGGAGCCATCCGGGAAGATAAGTCAGAAGGTTGAACTAGTTGGGGGTTCTACAAAGAAAAGACTAGCTGGGGAAGGAGGTGGACTCCTGGGCTAGGCGGATGGGTTATCCTGAGGGCAGAGCTTCCCACCTTCCTGCCCTGCCCCACCAGGTCCAAAGCCTATGACCCAGGAAGGCAGCCCTTCCTGGCAGCTCCCCCGCCACCACCACCACCACACACTGCAATTCCACACCTTGTCCCTGCCATAGCGACGCAACAGAGGATAGGGCCAGGAAAGGAGTGGTTCCAGTATCTGATTCTGCGCTCCCATAGTCAGGAGAGTCAACCTCTCAGCCTCCACCCTCAGCACATAGGAGCCGTGTAGGCCACAGCGCTCAGCAGCTTCAGTCCTCTGCACGGTTACCCAGAACTGGGATCCTGGAAGGAATACACAATTAGACTGGCACCTGACCAGCGGTGGGGTAACTGGGATCCTGGAAGGAATACACAATTAGACTGGTGGGGGTGGGGGTTGTCCCAGCCCTCACCTGGAAGACAGGTGAGGAACTTCCTATTTCCCCATAGGCCCCTGGATCCTCTAATCAGCCCCTTTCCAGGGGCACCCTTCCTTTCCACCCCTCATCCCTGCCCAGCTTCTCAAGCGGCTACCTTCCCAGGTGGGGCTATACAGCGAGTTCTCCAGCATCTCCAGGGCAGAAAGCTTGGGTGAGTTCCCTGCAGGCGCCAGAGCCCAGTTGCCTTTCTGGGGAAAAGAGAAAGAGAGTATTGAAGACTCAAATCATTCTCTCAACGCGGTTCGCGGGGTCTAAGCCAGCCCAGCTCCTCTGTGGCCGTAACTACCCTCACCCTGCAACGTCTCTGGGGTCCAGTGCGGTTCGCCCCAGCCCCTCGCGGGAAGCCCCGGCCCTCTCACCGGAAAGGCGTTTAGGCACAGCGTTTGCACCCAGGCGGCGCTGGACGGCCCGTCGGCCGCCAGCAGGTGGGAGCGCTGTGCAGTGTCCAGGCGGAAGGCCGTGGCGCCAGGCTCAGGCGGGCTCTCCACCGCCACGGGCGCCACGCTCACACACTCGGCCAAACGGATCACCTTGCAGTCCAGGCGGCGCGAGCCCCCTCGGCCCCCTCCAGAGCTCGACCCCTTGTGGTCAAAGAACTCGAGGCGCGCTACGCCGTGGGGGCTGGCGGGGTAGAGCACGGCCCAGGTCTTCCTCCACCTCTGCGGAGAGAAAGCGAGAGACGCTGGGAAAGCAGCGGCGAGCGTCGGCCGCCCGGCCCCGACGGTGAAGGAGGGACCAGGAGAAGCCTCTTTCGGGTGTGAGGCTTTCCGAATGGCACGAAGTTTCCCCAGAAGGATGCCTGCCGCTCAGTCTCCCCAGGACCAGAGAGGGCGTACCCCAAGACCAGCAGACGCTTCCCCGCAGCGTGCAAAGCGACTTCGCCGGAACGCCACAGGGCTCCCGGCTCCCGGCTCCCGGCGCCGCGCTTGCACCCTGCCCTCCCCCTCCCTCCTGGGTCCTATCGCCCACCGCTAGCTTTGATGAGGTTCGGCACCCCTACCCCCGACTACCTTGGTACCGAAACGCTGACTCTGCAGAAAGAGCGGCCCTTCCATCACGGCCCCGTCCATGGCCCCTGGCCGTTCCTTCCGCGCTTCCTGGCCCTACGGG